TATATATTCTGCCCTGATCATTTTTAATTCATTATAATTCTAATTAAATTAGGTAAAATATATACTTAATGAAAATAAAATTATGACAATATATACACAGCATAAGTAGAGGTAAGTACAGGCTACAGCAGACTAAAACTTACACAAAGATGCTCAATATTATATGTGCCATATGAGGCATTATTATATCAAGCATCGATCACTACAGCACTTTCACTACAAATGGATCCTTCAGTATGAGAAGCATAAACACAATGCTTAGAAATATGATGAACACTAGTATCACAGCCATGAAAAATCTGCAATGAATAGATATTAACCCTTCATTCAGATACAATGTAGTTAAAAACGAAATTATTTAATTTCTCTACAGCGCCTCAAGAAAAACAAAATAAAAATTGAAATATCTCACCTTTACGAGTTTGCAGCACTAACCCGTTTGTCCTAACTGCTAAAGAGTGCAGCAAGCTGCCAGAGCAAACTGCGATTCCTCCTGCGCTCATAGTGACTGTTAGGCAGCGAGAGTATGAATGAGAGTGGGAGAGGAGGAGAGGATGTATGTAGTGTGTGTCGGCAGCCTTCTGCGCACACCTTACATCATAAACAGCCACAGAGGGAGGGGTTTCGCTCATAAACATGCCATATCATGTGTGGGTGACTATAAAGATCTCCAAAGAGATCTCACAGCAAAACACTGTGAAGATGCTTCTGAATGGCGTGAGTGCAGCCGAGCGGATGACGTGGTGTTGTGAGTGGATTTCTGAAGTATCTCAAGCACTGTGTGAATACAAATAATGCTGTTTGAAGCTCAGATTATCAGAGATGCGGCCACTAATATGATTACATTCAAAGCACATTAAGTAACAAAGAGATCTCAGTCTCAGATATCAATGCTACTCTGTGTTTGTGTGTCACTGTGATCTGAATATCGTGCTCCCTCGCCATCTGTATACACTATCACAGCCTGACATAATTCAGCATGTGGAGAGAATGATAATGCATCATCGTGTTATTTTTGGGATGGAAAACAGATTTGATGGACTATCAGATCAGCCGTCATTCATGTGTGTGATTACCGAATGGCAAACTTGGGGAAAACATTAGTCAGAGGATGATAGTGACAGGGAACAGCAGTGAGAACTTCACTTTCAAACTGGATCACACTTTATATATTTACATATAGTTTTTGAGGCATGGATGTTGATGATTAGAGGGATTTTATAGTTTATACACTATAAATATGGCCGTAATTGTAATGTAAAAAACTGTAAAAATGCTACAGTAAAACTCTGTTAATTAGTTAAACAGTAAGTTTCCTTAATCTATATGGCGAAAAACTGTTAGTGATGGGACAGTTCATGTATAGCAAATGTTAAATGTACTGTTCATAAGAACAAGCCAACTTTAATTTACAGTGAAAAAACATAAATTGACATTAATCATACTCTCTGAGAAAAAAAGGTACAAAAGCTGTCACTGGGGCGGTACAAAATGGTCCCAATGTGTCATAAACAGAGAAAAGCATCCAGAAACCTGGTGAAACAAAAAACAGCTTAAACCAATCTAAGGTGGTCTAAGATGGTCCCCCAGCATGACCAGACCAGTTAGTTTTTAAAATATTCTTGGCACATTCAGCCAGGCAGAGTGCAAGATCAGCTAGTCAATGGCCAGATAAACTACCTAAACATCATGTTTCTATGAGAAGAATAGAATAGAACAAAATAGAAGAGAAGATCATAAACAGAATACAAACCCGATTCCAAAAAAGTTGGGACACTATAAATTGTGAATAAAAACAGAATGCAATGATGTGGAAGTTTCAAATTTCAATATTTTATTCAGAATACAACATTTTCAGTAATCTAATCATCCATTATCTAATCCATCTATCTAATCATTCACTGATATAAAAGTTGGTTGCCATTACCAGAACTATATATATGAAAAGTTCCAGCTAAGCAGCCAATCAGATTACATCAACACCAAACACAAGCATCACGGTGACTTGAACACTGAAACATCCCATTAAATTAATCTGCTAATTGACGCAAGAGCTCATTAGAGAGACTGAGAGTATATGACAAGTGTCGGCTGAATTAGTTCCCTAATTTAGGACATTACTCCTCAAACACATCTTCTGAGAATCAAAGATATCTGAAGATAATTAAGGCTACAAACTACAACACTCCACACTCATTCATGTTTGAAATTTACAACTTTGAATTCTGAGACTGCAATGAATCAACTGACAAGCAACCAGTTTAAATTTCACGAGTCACTCCTGCACATGAGTGTCAGCCTACTTCAGTGGGTATAGAAAAGAATCCCCCCCCCCTTAAAATAATCACTTTTTGTTGTTTTTGTTTTATCCAGCTGTATTTATTTATAACATCCAAGTGAAAGATATAACACCAACATGTCAGAAAATAATAAAGTTGGAAAAAAGATCACCCCTTGTGTCAGTATTTTGTTGAACTTGTTGCAGAGGGCAGCAGATTTTCCTCAATAATTTGACGGTATTTTGCCTTCTGTCCTGACAAGTGCTCCAGTCCCTGCTGCAGAGAAACACCCCCATAAAAGGATATTACGACCTACATGCTTTACTGTAGGAATGCTGTTATTTGGATGGTGAGCTGTATTGGATTTCCTCCAGACATATCGTTTGGTGTTGAGGCCAAATAATTAAATTTTAGTCTCATCTGCCTCAGAATCTTCAAGGTGCGTTTTGGCAAAGCTCAGTCGTGGCTGCATGTGGCCTTTCTTGAGGAGTGGCTTTTTTCTTGCAACCCTCCCATATAAGCCACATTTATGGAAAATTTGTGATATCGTTTTCACATGCACATAATGACCACTCTTTGTCATAAATTCCTGTAACTGCTTCAGAGTTGCTGTAGGCCTCTTGGTCGCCCCTCTGACCAGTTTCCTCCTGGTTCTTTCATCCAGTTTGGAGTGACGTCCTGATCCAGGGAGGGTCTGTGTTGTACCAAATACCTTCCACTTCTTAATAATAGACTTCACTGTGCATCTAGGCATTGATAAAGCCTTTGAAAAATTGTTTTGTATCCATCTCCTGACTTGTGCCTGTCCACAACTTTATCCCGGAGATCTTTTGACAGTGCCTTGCCACCCATACAGTAGTTGATTGTGTGCCATTGAGAAGGTTTGATTGAGTTTTCAAGTCATTTTTAGGAGGTGGGTGATCCTTTTTCCAACACAGTGATTCTGGTTTTTAATTTTTAGCATTTTTTCTGACATGTTGGTGTTATATCTTTCACTTGGATGTTGCACTGAGTATATAGAAGACCCATACCTGAGCTGCTGGAACCAGGGGACTTGCTCCTTCTTGAAAGTCCACAGCTGCGGGGAGAGCTGCGGCCCTGCATGGAAGAAATACGTCTGACCAGTTTCCTCCTGGTTCTTTCATCCAGTTTGGAGTGACGTCCTGATCCAGGGAGGGTCTGTGTTGTACCAAATACCTTCCACTTCTTAATAATAGACTTCACTGTGCATCTAGGCATTGATAAAGCCTTTGAAAAATTGTTTTGTATCCATCTCCTGACTTGTGCCTGTCCACAACTTTATCCCGGAGATCTTTTGACAGTGCCTTGCCACCCATACAGTAGTTGATTGTGTGCCATTGAGAAGGTTTGATTGAGTTTTCAAGTCATTTTTAGGAGGTGGGTGATCCTTTTTCCAACACAGTGATTCTGGTTTTTAATTTTTAGCATTTTTTCTGACATGTTGGTGTTATATCTTTCACTTGGATGTTGCACTGAGTATATAGAAGACCCATACCTGAGCTGCTGGAACCAGGGGACTTGCTCCTTCTTGAAAGTCCACAGCTGCGGGGAGAGCTGCGGCCCTGCATGGAAGAAATACGCCCATAGGACTGCGATTTCACCACCCTGCACTCTGAGAAAGCAGCAAAAGATAAACACATCTGAATTCAGTCTGGTTTTACTGCAGAGGCCTCAGCAAACCTTCCTCGGTTCCAGCTCTACACTATGAGCCTCCTGTCTCTGTAAAACACACCGAAGAACGTCTAATCTGTGTGGACGACCTGATGTCACCGCCGATCAATCTACCGCAACCTCATTCTGACCCAAACATGTCAGCCTGACATGCCGGAGGTCTGATCAGAGGAGATCTGACAGGCTGGTTTGCTCTCGGACCACATGCACAGAATCAATATGTCTATCAATAGGATTTTAAAATAGCTCAAAGTCTGGTGCATGATTCTGCACTGTAAATGTCAATGGCAATTAATTCATTTAATAAACCTGGATAATAAACAGCTAATGTCATAATAATAGTTACAAATGTCAGTAAATTATGATACTAAGTTTTTTTAACTTAATATGCTATTTTGTTTACAAAAAGCAGCATTTTGAAAATGGAAAACACATTTGCTGTTAATGTCAGTAAAGCTTTAAAATATATGCAAATGACAACACTGATACTGACAGCAGTAAACAAATGCTACAGCTAATTAATTAAAACAAACACCAGCGGAAGAGCTTATTATCTGAAGTTAAAACTTTAATTCTCAAATAATACAATATTGGACAGGATGTTTATTTGCCAAAAAACCTTATTTAAATTTATAAATCAAATTATTCACGTAACTAAGGTCGGTGGCACAGTTGTTATTGGTCTTAGGGAAACAGTCATGCTTTAAAAAGGGATGGACACATTATCCATTATCTTACCACTCTCATCCAACAGGAAGTCATCCTGGTAGCGGAACTTCTCTGGGCCACAGGCAAGAAATATATCATCTTCACCAAAGAAGTCCTGAAGGCTTGCCACCTACAAAAACAGCAGAGGTAGACTTATTATATGAAAATACACTTCTGTTCAAAAGTTTGGGGTTGTTCACCAAGGCTGAATTTATTTGATCAAAAATACAGCAAAAACAGGAATATTGTACAGTTTTCTATTTTAATATATTTTAAAATGTAATTTATTCATGTGACGGAAAGCTGAATTTTCAGCAGCCATTAGTCTCATGATCCTTCAGAAATCATTCTAATATGCTGAACATTTCTTATTATTGTCAATGTTGAAAACAGTTTGCTTACTATTTTTGTGGAAACTGATACTTTTTTTTCAGGTTTCTTTGATGAATAAAAAAACAGCATTTATTTGACGACAGAAATCATTTGTAACTTTATAAATGTCTTTACTTTTGATCAATTTAATGCATCCTTGCTGAATAAAAGCCAGGTTTCTTTGATGAATAAAAAAACAGCATTTATTTGACGACAGAAATCATTTGTAGTCTTTACTTTTGATCAATTTAATGCATCCTTGCTGAATAAAAGCATCTAACCGTCCCTAAACTTTTGAACTATAGTGTATATTTTCTTTCTTTTTTGTGGTCCTAATACAGATAAACATATTCAATTTCACTTATTCACAATATAAAACTCACTAGATATAACTGAAAAAAATATGATGTAGCTTGTAAATAGATGCATTTTCTAATTAAATACAAAATACTTAGCCCAAATAGTGTAGAAATTAGGCTAAATAGATGAATTAGGCTGAAATAGGCTAAATAAAACAATCCATTCATATAAAGTCAATAATTCAAGGCTCAGATGTAAAGGTCAGTTTGATCAGTGTCTCAAACAGTGTTTCACATCCTCATTCTAAAGGTCAGTGATCAGTGATTCATACAGCTGCATGAATGAGAAGGCACTTTAGCATCTCACTTTAATGTATCATTTACACATACCAATGAGAACTTGTTTCTGTAGCAACAGTGACGTCATCACCAAGATCAGGGTAAGATGATTCAGTCAGGAGGCACAAAGTGAGCTAATGCTCTCACGCTGGGTGCAAAAAGAGTGAATGATCCGATATTCAGTGATATTACAACAGTATAAATGGTATCTCTGATGAACGCAGCAAAAGTCGGATAATAAGCCTGCTACTGTATGTGTGATATTTTGTGTGCAACACAGCAGAGGTGAGTTGAGTGTTCCACCTAATATTTTAAAGGCAAGACATCTGTTCTTAACTATTCCGCACATAGTAACATTAAAGTGAAGACTATTATAACAATGACAGATCTAATGAATTCTAATGACAAATCTAATTCAACGATTCATTATGTATAGTGGTTGATTGTTATAAAAGCCATTACTTCAGTGGTAAATATCCCAGCCAGAGAGAGTCTTCATAATAAGCTCAGTTTTTTGTAGTTTTGTTCTTGTTTTTGATTCATTTATTGCTCCAGTATAGAGCATTAGAATATAAGTGTCATTTGGAATGGTCATCAAAATGAGGAATACGCTTTTAAGAACCAGATGGTGTAGAACAGCAACCGTCCATTACTGGAGACTGACTGTCTGTGCCGTAAAGATTTAAAAGAAAGGGAATAAACTGTTCAGTCATTTTATAACAGTAGCAATATTGACATAGTCTTTATGGCAAGCTGGGAATCTGAAAAATCTGGCAGTCTGATCAAAAGTTGTGCACGAAATTTCACCTTGTGCTGCAGCACCAGCTTCTGGAAAGCATGCAAACTAACAACAAAATAAGCAGTAGACATAATACAGTCTATTCCAAAGTCAGATACTTGGTTTAAATATTTAAATACATACCTGGAACCTAACAAGTCCCAAAAATTCCACTGGCTGAAAATTAAACGGTACAGAAAACCAAATAATGAATTTAAACGTGCCATTTTCATCCTAGAGATAATTTCTCATGATCACCACAAGATGGTGCAGACACCTCATTTTGCAACTGCCACCAACAAGGACTACATAACTAATACTTACAAGCAATACTTATTCTTCTTCTGCCCAACATTTCAGCTTTTTCAGCATCTCTGATGCCCCTGAAGCCCCTGCCATATCTCAGCACCAAATGATCATAATAATATGTGAATGGGCTTTTTAAAATTGGGACAGTATACAGAAGCAATCTTTAAAATCCTGATGACACCACTCACATTTAGAAGATGAAGAACAGTCTAGTTAATTCATTCATAAAGTAGCATTCACACCATCAACATCATTCAATTACATCCAGATAAATAAATGTAAAGATCAGAAGATCAGAAAAACCTAAGATGGTCTTGGAAACTAGTCTCCTTACATTTTACTTTGATTGCAAAAGGGTAAATCTCCTGGCTTTAAGTCAGTCTGTTGGCAGGAACAGTTTGTACCAGGCAGGAGCCGTAAAACTCAAAAACACGCTCAAATCTGATGAATTATGTTTTTAATCCATATCCGCCATCTGAAGTATACTCTTAAAAATAAAGGTGCTTCACGATGCCATAGAAGAACCTTTTTGTCTAAATGGTTCCATAAAGAACCTTTAACATCTGAAGAACCTTTCTGTTTCACAAAAGGTTCTTTGTGGCGAAATAAGGTTCTTCAGATTACAAAAAGGTAAGAAAGAGATGGTACCATCTGAAGTATACTCTTAAAAATAAAGGTGCTTCACGATGCCATAGAATAACCTTTTTGTCTAAATGGTTCCATAAAGAACCTTTAACATCTGAAGAACCTTACTGTTTCACAAAAGGTTCTTTGTGGCGAAATAAGGTTCTTCAGATTACAAAAAGGTAAGAAAGAGATGGTTCTTTAAAGAACCTTTGACTGAATGGTTCTTTGTGGAACCAAAAATGGTTCTTCTATGGCATCGCTTGAAGAACCTTTTGAAGCACCTTTATTTTTAAGAGTGTAGTGACTAAAACTGGCTCTACAAGTAAATAAAATTGGATTCAAGTGAAACGATGCCAAGATACGATGTACTCCATTTCTTCCTAAACCTCTTAAAATACAGCAAAAGGATCTTCTAACCTCAGTTAACTTTCTGTTGACTGGTTGACTTTATGTCCTAACAAAGTTAGTAGATAGCAGCAGGTAGCATGTTCAGAATGAAATAATTGGTCAAGAATATTTAGTTATCCATTACTGTAAGCATCAGCTATGAGGATGTATCATAAATAAATCAGGGTGATACAGAGATATGACCTTTTCTAAAGGTTCCATAATTGTGATTAACAGCTACATGCTGAAGTTAATGAGCACCTCCTGCAGGTTTATGTCCTGTTTGACAGGAAGCTTTTTACTGGGTTTTTCTCTCAGTGCATTCCTACGATGTGGTTCATCTGCGAAGCCATTACTGACACTTATCAACAGATCCATCATGCAGAAGTACGCAAAGCCTTTAAGAGTTTGGGGAATGATCTTTGACTAAATTAAGCTTTCTTTTCACCAAATCATGAAGCAGAGTGTGTAATTCGACAAACCCTACTTGCAAGCATTCATGCATAGGTCACAATATCCACATCAGCTGCCTTCTTATTTTTCATATTTCATAAGGCTATTTGTCTCCTGAATAAATATGGGTGTTATGAACTGATGCACATGAATAATTCACTAGATTCTCAAGGATTCTGTTAAAGGTGTGTGAGGGGAAGCTTTTCGGTTGCTTAAAACCACAAACTCATTCATAATAATCTATAATAATGTACAAAAATATTAAATTCCATTTCATTACTGAATACAATTACATGGCAAAAATTGTAGTTCGTAAAGTATTCCATTACAATACACATTTTAGGTAATATATAATCTCACCGCTGTTTGATTACTTTTAGATTACTTTTAAAAATATATTACATTCTTTGCGATCAACAACATGAGAAGGATCTGCAGGGGCAAGAAGTTTTAAAAGATAGAAAAAGGATAAACTATGAAAAATGGATTGTCATTTTGTAAACAATATATAATAATGTAATCAATAAAAAGTAACTGTAGTCTGATTGTGAGCATTTTAAAATGTAATATAATCTAAACACAAGTATTTAAAAGTAATCTAAAAGTAATCTATTCAAAGGTAATCTAAAAGTAATTTTTGGAATCTGATTACGTAATCCAGATTACATACAATACAGTTACTGCAAATATTATATATATGTGTATGTGTGTGTGTGTGTGCGTTATATCTCAAAACATAAACAATGGTACTGATAGTACAAACTAGGCCTTGATGTATTGGATAATTTATAGTCTTTCGCACTGTGCTGTCCCAAATTTTCATTACACTGAGACATATGCTATCACAGTTTTAGATCACCTGTGTGGGGGTTGTCTACCATTTCACCAGGAAGGAGTTTTCTCAGGAAATACATTAGCATAGTTGCTAGAAATAGTCTGTCTGGGTTCTGAGGTTGTGTGCGGTCTATCGCTGGAAGCATAAGGGAAATCCAGGCCAGATTGACAAAGTGTACTGACTAAATGCTGAGGAACATTGGATTATGTGCAAATTAATCTGGTTACTTTTATTGAATACGGTCATTATTATGATGTTCACTGATACTAGTACTAATTTATCTAAACGAACACAATTACCACATAGCAAACATATTTTACCACTAGAGTAAGTGTGCATTCACTATATTACTGAGTAAGTGCACAGTATAGCAATCGTATTATTTATTATATTAAAATATGTGGTAATATTATTTGTGGTTGAGACCCCAGAGGGTTAAACTATCATTACTGCTGTATTGAAAGGATGCTAGCAGCACAACCTTAACCAAACTCGCCCAAAATAAAAATGCAGTCATTATTTACTCACACTCATGTAATTCCAAACCCATATGCTGTTATTTTGTTCTTTGGAACACAAAAGGAGGATTCTGAAGAATATTCACATAGTTATTTTCCATTCAACTGTCCATAGTGACCTTAGGTGCTACTATAATTCAACCCAACTCCCGCTTCGACTTAATTGAGACAGAAGAATTACAGTTCAAACAAAGCCATATTCTCCTACAGCAGACATCTGTGCATTATCATCTGCCACAAAGCAAAATAATATTCTGATTTCCTAAAACGAGTCACTACAATATGGACAATTTCCCTGCCACAGAACTGAGATCTACATATTCAGTAGAGCAGGAAAGGCAAGCCAAACACTGTAAGATGGTGCGGCTGGGAGAGTATTGATTTCCTCTCAACATGGACTCAGTGACACAGCAGTAGCTGCACAGGCCGCCACATGTCCCAGCAATAACCCACAGATCATTGATCTGGACAGACTCCCGCTGTTAATACTCAGAAGCTTTCATCAGGCAAATGCAGCCAGCCTGTGCTCACCGATGCCATTCAGGACCTCTTAAACACAGGTTAGAAACACATACGCAAGACTGCGGTGGCGAATCTTAAAGACACGGACTGGTAAAACTATAAATGAATAGTAGGCATGGTAACACTTTAGTGTAGGGACCAATTCTCACTATTAAGTTGCTTATTAGCATGCCTATTATTAACATAAAAATACAAAATTGGCTGTTTAATACTTATAAAGCACATATTCTGCATGACCATATTCTACACCCCTAATCCTACCCAATATCTAAACTTAACAACTACCTTACTAACTATTAATAACTATTAATAAGCAGCAAATTGGGAGTTTACTGAGGCAAAAGTCATAGTTAATGGTTTGTTAATAGCGTAAATTGGACCTTAAAATAAAGTGACTGTAGACTAGGGTTGCAAAAAGGTGGAAAATTTCCAGTAAATTTCGGAAACATTCCAGAAAGTTTGGAAACTTTCGAGGATTTTTTGGAATACTCCAGGGATTTTTGGAAAGTTTCCGGAAATGTTCCACCCCTTTGCAACCCTACTGTAGACATTATTCTAAATAAATACTTAATATAAAATTAAAGTCTGACATGGTTTATTCCATTGAGGAATTTTACCATTATATATCAATAAGTGACTATGTTTAAGAGGGGCACACCATCAAAATACTTCCCGTGTTGGGTAAAAGCATCCTGGAGAATTATCATTTATTATTGAGAGGTTTATGAGATGGAGATGTACCATTAGAGTTAACTTTGCACTGCTTCAGCATGATAGTGTTCTCTCAGCTAATCAGAAGAAATCACTTCCGAAAAGTTCAGAATTCTGCAGGTGGCACTTGTGGCACTTCCTTAAAGCAGTGTTATTTTAGTATCATTGATAAACTATTATAGTTTTTGTTAATATTTTTGAATTAGAATTAATTTTTTTTATTTTCTGTTTTCACTTTAATTTTAAAGTTTTAGTCAAAGTTTTATTTTTTATTATTTTTAAATATGTCTTTATAATATTATTTATGAATTAATTTATAAATTTTAGTTTTAGTTATTTTAGTACCTCAACTTAAACTAAACAAAAATGCGAAATGTTGTCTTGGCAATTAGCTGAAATAAATAAAGTGTTTTTTTTAATATATTTTATTTTATTTTAGTTAATGTTTATTTTCGACGTTTTAGTCTTAGGCCCTGTCCACACGAACGTGGTTATTTTTAAAACCGCAGCTTTTTCTATGCGGTTTGGCCATTTGGCCGTTCGTCCACACACAAACGCAGCACCAGGTCACTGAAACCGAACATTTTTAAAAACTCCTGCCAGGGTGAAGATTTTCAAAAACTCAGGTTGCAGTGTTATCGTGTAGACAGCGGAACCAGAGTTTTTGGCTTGTGACGTCGGAGCCTGCTCTGTTATCTCCGCCTACTGGAAACTTTTTCAGGCTTCTGATTGGCCAACATGGCTTTACGGTTGAGATTATATTGCCACCTGTTGGCTTGGCATGCTCTTGACAGTGCTTCATAGCATGCGTTTGCGTTTTCATGTGGACGGAGATTTTTTTTTTAACAGAAGAAGGAAAAACTCTGTTTATAAAAATACCCGTGTACGTGTGTACATGGCCTTAGTTAACAATAATAACCCTGACTACAGACTACAGAGGGCTTCTTTTTCTTTAAAGGGATAGTTCATCTTCGGAACACAAATTAAGATATTTTTGATGAAATCCAAGAGATTTCTTTACCCTGCATACTGCATAGATAATTCTGCATACACGTTCAAGGCCCAGAAAGGTAGTAAGGAGTAAGGACATCATGAAAATAGCCCATGTGACATCAGTGGTTAACCGTAATTTTATGAAGCTACGAGAAAACTTTTTGTGTGCAAAGAAAACAAAAATAACAACTTTATTCAACTATTTCTTCTCTTCCCTGTCAGTCTTCGATGCACGTTCACCAGAGTACCACGATGCATGCGTGTGGTGCTGCTTACGCAGGAGCCGGCATTGTGTGAGTTCACACTACAAAAAGAAATCGGAAATCGGAATCGGCCAAACAAATTGCAATTGGTGCATCTCTAATGAAAAGTCATGGAAATGCATTGGTCAAAAGGTGTGGAAACCCTGTGAATAAGAACAAAATACATCACAGTAAAAATAAAACCGATTCTTGATGACGACCCACGCATTTTATGCATCAATTTTTCTGCGCTTGATTTTTGAAATGGCAGCATTGTTTGGACTGAAAGGACTCTTCATGTTTCGCAGTAATGGCAAGAGGTGACCTTTCAGGAGGAAATTTAACTGCCTATTGAGGTGCATTACATAAGTCCAGGAGTGGCAGATAATGAGTAATGACTAAATGCAAGTCAGCTTGTTGCAGTGTTACTCCCACTCCCACGTTTCACTGCATGGGTTTACACTGGAGCCAGAGTACTGTCAGGATGGACTGAACATTCACTAGGCTTACAGACTTGATCAGGTCTGTGTTCTGACAGCATTAAAACCAACAGTTCAGTGTTAGGCTGGTTAGGTTCAGCGGTTAACTATTGCTAGTAGATGGTGTAACTATTTTCATATTTGATTATAGATACAGATGCCAGTTCTTGGAGACTGCGGTGGCGAATCTTAAAGACACGGACTGGTAAAACTATAAATGAATAGTAGGCATGGTAACACTTTAGTGTAGGGACCAATTCTCACTATTAAGTTGCTTATTAGCATGCCTATTATTAACATAAAAATACAAAATTGGCTGTTTAATACTTATAAAGCACATATTCTGCATGACCATATTCTACACCCCTAATCCTACCCAATATCTAAACTTAACAACTACCTTACTAACTATTAATAACTATTAATAAGCAGCAAATTGGGAGTTTACTGAGGCAAAAGTCATAGTTAATGGTTTGTTAATAGCGTAAATTGGACCTTAAAATAAAGTGACTGTAGACTAGGGTTGCAAAAAGGTGGAAAATTTCCAGTAAATTTCGGAAACATTCCAGAAAGTTTGGAAACTTTCGAGGATTTTTTGGAATACTCCAGGGATTTTTGGAAAGTTTCCGGAAATGTTCCACCCCT